AGCTTATAGAAATCAGCACTTGACTATCATGCTTCAAGGAAATTTCCTAGTGTCTTTGTATAATTTCAATTATTGTTGACAATCTCTATTCAGAAATTAGCAATTATTTTTGTTTAGTTTGTTTTTAGAGACAGAATCTCACTTTATTGCCCTCAGTAGAGTGCCATGGCATCTCAGCTCACAGCAACCCCCAATTCCTGGGCTTAGGGCGATTCTCTTGCCTCATCCTCCTGAGTAGCTGGGACTACAGGTACCTGCCATAACACCTGGCTATTTTTTTGTTGCAGTTTGGCCATGGCTGGGTTCGAACCCACCACCCCTGGTATATGGGGCTGGCACCCTACCCACTGAGCAACAGGCACCATCCTTCTGTTTAGTTTTTAAAAATAATTTCATTACACTGCTATCTCTTAGGTTTGTCCCATCATATTCTCTTATTCTATTACCTGCTACATCACCCTCAATTACAAATGTTTTCTCTGGCATTATCTCTCATGCCAACCTCACTGTATTTTTATCATCCATCTATTCTCAGTATATATATTTTTATCATCCATCTAACAATTATATATGGAGTATCTACCACCCCTCACTTCTCAAGCTTTCATATTTGGGCAATCCAAGCTTTTTCTCCTTGAATGAATTATTGCTCTAGAAACCCCCAGTTTAAAGTTTCCTTCTGTGTTTCTTTATAAAAAGCACACAGCTCAGCTTGGCGCCTGTGGCTCAAGTGGCTGAGGCACCAGCCACATACACTTAAGGTGGCAGGTTCGAATCCAGCCCGGGCCTGCCAAACAACAATGACGGCTGCAACCGTAAAATAGCCAGGTGTTGTGGCGGGCACCTGTGGTCCCGGCTACTTGGGAGGCGGAGGCAGGAGACTCGCTTGAGCCCAGGAGTTGGAGGTTGCTGTGAGCTGTGATGCCACAGCACTCTACCCAGGGGGACAGCTTGAGGCTCTGTCTCAAAAAAAATAAAATAAAAATAAATAAAGTTCTTTAAAAAAAAAAAAGAGCACATAGCTCTTTTCATCATAGCACATAGCATCCTCTTCACCCATGCTCTCTGAGATGTGTATCTGTACCATATCTTGCCCATGACAAGTTAGCTTCAATTACACTTAGCCAGGGTTCACACAAACCCTCAGGCATACAATATCATCTCTGCCTACCCGTCCTCAGCCAGAATTCTTTTCTTTCCTATCATTTAGAGATTACTGCTCTCTTCTTTCCATTATTCCTAATACAATGAAGATTCCTTATTCCACCCCAATTCAAAGCTTTTTCCGCTATCACTTTAACATGGCTCTGTTCTTACAACTCTTTAAATCTGCTTTATTGAATTTGGTTACCACTATTCGCATGAGGCTACCGGTCACCTGAAACATGGTTAATCTCCAATTTGAGATGTGCTAGAAGTATAAAATAACACTGTAGTTTGAAGATCTAGCATAAAAGAGGATATATCTCATAAAGAGTGTTTATACTGATTAATGTTAAAATAATATTTTGGACATACAGTTAATGAAATATATTATTAAAATTTAACTGTTTATTTTTATCTTTTTAACATGGCTACTAAAAACTTTAATTACATATATAATGTAATGACTTGTATTACATTTCTAATAGCTAGCACTACTTTGGGCTCTCCTGTTGATTCATATTTTAATCTTTCCAACTAATTCAATTTTTGAATTTTGAATTTTGAATTTTTTTCTAAATTTTTTCCTCTTTATCACTCTTACTAAAAGACCTTCTCCAATTATTCCCACTGCACACCACATCCTCAACCTAGAACTCTTTTCAATCTACCATTCTCAATACCTTTCTACCCCCTTATTTCTATACATGGTATTTCTTTTCATCTGCTAACATAGCTTCTACCCTTGCACTAAAATCATGACCTAGTTCTGGTTTTTTCTTCATCAGTTCTAGTAGAGAGTGGTATTTGTCTTAACTCTCAGCAAATTAAAAAAAAAAAGATCCCTGCAATTCCCAACAAAAAGAACTTCACTCATCATTCTCCAAATTGGCCTATCTATACTGTAATTTCATTTAAAGGGGCTAGTAATTGTGACACACTAAACAAATGTAAATTCATAATAATTTCAGAAAAATGTTGCTCATTCACACCAGGAGATCCATTTTTCCTGTCATCTTAAAGACTATATTCTTTTTCCAAATTCTTCTAATGTTGAGGTTTTCAGCCAGTTATTCACAGCAGAGAACTCTCTTATTTCCCTCCAAATGCTTGCACACAATTACCAAAACAGAGTATTTGTTTATCAACCATTTTTAGCAAGGGCCATATGTCATCAGTTCCCAAGCTGATTTTATGTCTAACATTTCTGGAATTGCATTTTCTTTTCACAATGATTTCAGACTAAGAAGATGGATGTGAATGGCTTGGCCAGGAAGAGTTGAGAGTTTGTAGAGAAGGTGATGAGAAGCACCAGTCACAGATAAGAGTTCCCACTCATTTTCCTCTTCCAGTGTTTCTTCTGAAGTCTTTCCTCCTTACTACTCTGTCCCAGCCTCCCCACTATAAACCCTTTGCATGTATCCCTTCCCAGTATAAGTTATACCTTTGTTTTAGCACTTTCTCAGAATTCATCTATAAGGTCTCCTTCTTGTCATTTTTAGGAAAGAAATTCCTTGCCTTTACTCCAAGAATAACACAAGTGTCCTTTTTTGCTTCCAACATTTTCCTCGGGTGATTAAGATCTTTTATTCATCATCCATATAAATTCCAGTTTCCCATCACTCCCAGTATTGAAAAACCTTTCTTTAAGGAAAATTATTCCTAGTGTTGAAACTTTTTCCTCTTCCCTTAGCAATTTTATTTAGCTCTCTCCCAGTTCTCTCATGACAGATATCTCTCTCTCTCTCCCTCTCTCTCTCTTCTGGTCTTGTGATATTGTCACCTTTTCATTTAGCCCAATCTAGAATTCCCTCTTTCAACAGAGAGCCCTCTCTTCTCTCATATTCTCTGTGGCCATCCCCATATACAGCTTATGCCTTGGTCCTTTCCTCTATTCTTATCTCTTCAACATTTTTCTTCTGTCCTTTGCTTATCTCTCTCTCTCTCTCTCAATGTCTAGTTTTTATAGCCAATATTCTATCTGTTTCAGAAAAGAGCCCCCCTCAGGGGCTGGGGCTAAATTTTTTAAAAGGAAAAGAGCCCCCATTATACTTGTGGGTCAAAATAAGAATCAAAGGGACATAAAGGAGGACAAGCTGCTCATCCTCCCATGGTTTGGGATAAAACTCTCAGTTCCCCCCTCACTGAGACCCCACCTGAGGGTCTCTCTTTCCCGGATGTGTCTGGGTATGATCTTATCGCCTCCAAAGCCATCTCTTTGATGGCCTGCCTTGCTCTCTTTCTGCCTTCTGGTCCTCCTATTGTGAATATCCTACAAATCCTTCCTTCCTAAAATCATCCTGCTGGCCACACCACCACTAGTACTGTACCCTAGGCCCTTTTATCTTGTGGACATTTTCTCCCACCTTCCAGTTGCTGCTCTATCTTTTCCTTATGATCCTCCTTAGAAGATGCTACTCAGACTTCAGTCATTGGATCCTCCTGGTCCATCCAGACATAAAAAGAAAACAACAGCTGCGTCCTCAAAGCCAAAAATGTCCAGAGCTAAGGGAGAAAAGAAGAGGAAGACAGGCCTTATGGCAACCCTTGGAGTCTAGAAGAGTGATGCCCTCTTTGGGCAATTTCAGGAAGAGCCAAGATACCTATCATTAAGAACTGCCTTTTCCTGTCAAAGGACAAAAGGACTCTTACATCTCCTAGGTCTCCATTAGCGTCAGCTCCCAGGTCTATCAGGGACATTTCCACCTGCTAATCTGGATGCAATGAATGATTTAGATCTAGATGCTGTTTGGGACTGAATTGGAGTCAGAACTTGCCTGTGATCAAGGGGTCTGAGACTCCAGGCTCCGGGCAGTGGCTGAGATTCTGAGCAGGTTCCAGTCTGGGATTTCCAGGAGAACACGCCTCCCACCTGCATCCCAGAGGGAGATTTATGCTGATGCTAAAGACGTTCAAGCATCAGAGCCCACTTGCACATAGCCCCTATTTTTCTTAAAAAGGGCCCACCAAATTATATAACCTGTGGGTCTCAGAACACCTGGATCTGTCTGGATAGAAGAAAGCATTTCTGGCCTCTAGTGGTTAAGACCAAAAGGTTGGAAAGGAGAGCTCTAAATGAATTGATCCTAAACCCAATTCAGGTTAATACACCCTGCTTCTAATGAGAGAGCACTCTCCCAGGGGAGTTTCCAGGGCTCTTGAATTATCTCTTAGCTGAATCTTAGCTGGATTCTTGCCTCCAGGTCTCTGGGCCACACCCAACTCAGCCCAGCCTTTAGCCTCGCTCTCTCTTAGTCTCCCAGTCAGTCTTGGTCCAGTGGGTTCTAGCCCCTCTGCTAGCTAACGCCTTCTGCTTAGCTCTAAATCTGCCAGTTCAGAAGTGTCCTCTGCTACTAAGGTGATGCCACTGCTTTAAAAATCCTCTGTTGTTCCTGTATCCAGAGCTCAACCCTGCCCTCTGAGTGTCTGGGGTCAATTCAATCTTCTCAGAAACAAGAACATCCCCAGCCTTACTGAACTGACAGCTGCTCCAACATACCCTCATTCTGGTTTCCCCAATCCACTCTTTTATCCTCTCCTAAAAGAGGAGAAAATGAAGGAATGCTGAAAAGGAGCTTGGCCCAATGCTTGAGGATGAGGATGCTGGAAGGAAAGGCACTAATTTGGAAGAGAATACTGGGAACTCTTCAGTTGAGGCTTCAGGCGCTCTGGGGACAGGACAAGGCAGGGGCTCTGGGATCTAGAGACGCTTTTTGGAACGGAGTTGGAGTCAGAACCTGCACGCGATCTAGGGGTTTGGGACTCCAGGGCTCCAGACAGTTGCCGAGATTCCGAGCAAGGTTCCCGTCTGGGATTTCCAGGTGAACGCGCTTCCCTCCCGGCGTCCCAGCACTTACCGGGCAGACTTGGGAAAGTCTCTGAGAAGTGCGGAGGAGGGGGTGGTGGGGGCTCTGCCACTTTCTCCCGGGCCGGTAGCAGCTCCTCGGTTTCCAGACCACCCTCTGGGCGTCGGCCGCCCGGCTCAGGGTTGTTGCGGGCAGCAGTAGCGGCGGCGGCAGCCGCGGCGAGCTCCGGGGGCCCGTAGAAGGTGTCGGGCGGCTCCGCGAAGCTGGGCAGTGCGGTGGTCAGCGCAACCATCGAGGGTACGGCCTGACTCAGCCCCGCGCAGAAGGTGTTGGTAAGGCGGCCGGCAAAGGAAGCTAGCGGGGCAAGAGGCGGGAGGCCCGCAGACAGCGGCGCGGGGGCCAACGCCTGCGGCAGCACTAGCGGCCGGTACGGCATGAACATAGGGTAGCTAGTGTAGACCAAGTGGCCGGAGCGCGGTGGCGGCGGCCCTATCAAGGAGTCGATAGAGAAGGCAGTGCCCGGGCCCCCGCCACTGCCCCCGCCGCTGTTCCCCGGGGCGCCGCTGCTTCCAGCTCTCTGCATGGTGCCCGGAGCTGCGGCCGCCCCGGGGCGCTCCCCTCCAGGCGCCGCCGTGCGCCCCGCGGCTCGGGCGCCCAGCGGGGACGCGAAGGGCTCGCTCCCTGACTCCCGGGCCGAGGTGGCGGCGGGGCGCGGGCTCGGCGCAGTGTGGCTCCGGCGCCGCGCTCCCTCTCTCACATAAGGAGGGAGGGGGCGGGCGAGCGGGCGGGTTGGGGGTGTCGCCCTCCGGACTCATCCATCTTCCTCAAATTACGCTTCACTTCCTCCCTCCGCCCGCCGCGCCGCGCCCGGCTCCCGCTCCCTCGGCAGAGCCCGTTCCCAGCGGCCCGGCCGACCGGCCCGGGACCCTCTACCCGCCCCCCACGGCCCAACCAACTATTATTAATGGAGATTGATGAGGCCGGACACGACGCTTTGTGAAAGTTTGTGGCCAACGAGAAGGCGGCAGCAGCTGCTGAGCCGATCCCGTTCCCGCCACCCAACCTGCCCTCCACTTAAACCCACCCGGCCTGGGCTCGGCCCGGCTCTGAGGGCAAGTGGGAGGCGGCCCAGGCCTGGACGGGGCACGGGTGGCAGGCAAGGAGAGCGCACCAGAAGGGACGGACAGCCGGTCCTGGGCCGCTGCCTTCCGTTAGACCCGGACCATCCCCAGGCCTGCCTCCCGCCCCCGACATCCCTTCCCCGACCCGTAAAACGGAATACGAACAACCTCCCGAGAACAATCTCCAGCGCAGCGGGCCGGACAGCACTTTTGCCGCTCCCTCGGGCGAGAGCTGGGCTGAGGACGACGACGCACGGACGGCAGGGGGCGCGCTGCGACCGCCTGGAGCCAGAGCCAAGGCTTAGGGCCACTCTCTGGGGGGCCTTTTCCCTCCTGTCTTCTCCACCCCATTAGCTTGCTCGCCCCTGGTCTCTATTCTCTTGGCATTGGTTCTTGCCCTTCTTCCTCGTTTTCCCCTCCATTGCCAGCTTTCCTCAGTTCCTTATTCTCACCTCTGGTAATTTCCTGTAGGGCCCGAACTATGCCAAGTACTTACCAGTCCTCTCACCTTTCCCCTCCATCTTTCTCCCATCTTTTTTTCCTTTCCCCCACTTTTCTTCCCTTTTTTGACCTCGTTTCTACTCCTTTTCCTATTTGATTAGCTCCTTCCCCTCTCTCATTCCCTATCCCAGTCCATCTTACTCTATTTTTTCTCATTTCTTGCCTCTTTATCTGTATCTCTTGTCTTTCTGTCTATCTCTATCTCCCTCCCTAGCTCTCTCTCCCTCTTCTGCTATTAATTTCCCTGATTGGCTCCCCAGCTCCAGCGCTGCTGATGAGTCCTATTCATTCCTGGGCCTGACATTCACGACCTGCCCTGGCTGATTGCTGGGGGCTGGCCTCAGGAGCGCTGATGAGCCCCAAGGGTCAGCTGCGCTAATTATCTGCTAATTGTGGATGACTCTGCTCACCTCCCCCATTCTCAGGCACAGAAATGGTGGTGCCCTAACCCTTTTACCGCCCCCCTCCTCCTGATTCCCAGCAGTAGAGTTGTCAATCTAGAGGCAAAAGTCATAGACACTTTGGCTTGATAGGTGTCTCAGGTCAGTGGGCAAGAAAAAGGCTTAAGACAGGCAAATCAAGAGAAGAGTGACCCAAGCTTTAGGGCACAGACCAAGCCTGGCCAGCTGAAGTATTATCCGATCACTAGGAAACTATTACTTATTCAGGTGGGGCCAGGGAGAGCCAAACTAGTTAAAATTAATTATAGCAAAGCCAGGCAAGTTTAGGAAGATGTAGTCTGTGTAGAGGAAGTAATTTGGATCTAGTGAGGAGGAAAACCTACACCAAAGATTCTCAGGCTGTCCAGCCAAGACAGAGCTGGTAGGAAGGAACTCTGGATCTCAGTGTTTGTTTCAATTAGGAGTACTACTCATGTCAGTCTGATGTATTCAAAATCGGCACCATAAAAGACAATGTTGCCAGGGTGCCCTGAGGAAGAGGGCAGAACTCAAGAACAGAGCTTTCTTTGGTTATGTCTCAACTGATAGCTCATCAGCAGTGAATGTAGTCCTGATCTACCACCGGTACTACATTAAACTCAGAGGCACTTAGAAGAGACAGGTCTGGTGGGAAGATGTCATAATGGAGAAAGCTTAGATCTGGGAACCCCAACTCACTACTGAGCACTTGTCTAAAGATAATCCTCAGAACAATCCTACATTAAATTAACCAAGTACTTCACTGTGGAAGACCAGACTTCAAAAGTGTATTGTATTTAAAAAGTGAGAGGTCAAGTACTTGGTTTGGTGGTTGAATGGTGTTGGATACATAATAGACGTTTATTGACTTGATAAATTTTTTTTTTCGAGACAGAGCCTCAAGCTCTCCCCCTGGGTAGAGTGCCGTGGCTTCACAGCTCACAGCAACCTCCAACTCCTGGGCTCAAGTGAGTCT